AAATTAATTAACCTAATGCATATAATAATGGTATTATTCTGTTAATTTAAGATATTCATTGATTTCAAGAAAATGTAAAAACTTTTTTTAATTTAAATTAAATAACCAATGCACGTATGATGCTTACGTAAGTTAATATTTTGGTACACAATTTTTATGCATAAAGCACAATCTTTCGACTTGTCCTCCGGTATATTCTACGATTTTCCTCAATATTGATGAGTAAATATATTAATTGTACCTATTTAAATAACAATCTTAATTTTTAATTTAATGAAAAACTGTTTCAACAATATAATTTTATTTTTGTAGACAAGTTAAGTCCCTATAGTTTCTACATTTTCATTTGTTTTCAATTTACCTTTACGTTTCTTTGTTTCAGATTTTCTATTAGCGATTTTGAAACGTTAACGCGAAATTCGGAGTGATTTCTTATTGTGATACTGATCGGTGTTAAATGATGATGATGAATAATGACGTTCCATGTAAGTGAATTTTTTTTAATTATATTTTCGATATCATTTTTATTATATGTTCGTTTCATAAATGCTTTTTTGAAGTGAATCTTCTTTACGCACGGTAGTGTAAGTTCGTTTCATGCGAGTTGCTATGTAACGAAATCATGCAACGCATTTCCCCCGCTGTCTGTCCCTATGTATGCTTAGATCTTTAAAACTACGCAATGGATTTTCATGTGGTTTTTTTTAATAGATAGAGTAATTCGAGAGGAAGGTTTATATGAATAATACATGCATAAAATAATAGAGAAACGCTGATAATTTTAGGGGTTTGTAGTGTGATGTAAATAAACACATTTTTGCGCTTATATTGCAAACGCTGGCTGAACCCTACGAGATAGATCAAAATAATATACTGCAGTATTGTACACCTTAAAAAGGTCTACAAAAAAGTCCGCGATGGTATATGTCTATCTCCTAGGGATAACCCACAATAACCATTTTTTATCCTTTACTTTTTACGAGAAATAATGGCTTATTTACGAAGCGATTTTAAGCAATACAGCATTAATCCTTATCCAATTAAGTACTTTTAAATACATTGTGCATTTAATATAGATCAATATGGCCCTTTACAGCATGTAATTTAAATGAATATTTTCGAAGATATTACAGACTTAAAATGCAGGGACATAGCGGTTGCGGCGGTACCGGCCGGTTTGTATTGTCTAATGACAAAAAAGCTGTGATTGTTGTATATAAAGACATTCTATAGTATATTTACTATCAGCATTGCACCCGTGCGAAGCATAGTGTACAAATAATACCATTAAACCAATTCCTTAACCCCTATCCCGGTATGTTTGTGTGTTTGAAGAAGTTTCACTTTAGTAGCGTGTTGTATAATTGCGCGTTGTATTTTTTTAATTCATTTCCAAAAGTGTTAAAAACGAAATTTCAATATTAGGAGATATAACGAGGACGGGGGGCGGAACTACTATAAAATAATTTCATGTTTCGTCACTCTTTTCGGACCATTCCGTTTCGAATAGAAAAATGAAAGTAGGGAGTGTAATGAAAAATTTTCATTGAAAATCAAATTATATATAGAACAAAAAATTGCACCTTACCATTTCAAAATCATCACAAATTTGAAAAACGTTGGTATCAGGACGAACATTTCTTCTTTTTGTAATGCCTCTACAATCTTGTCAGCCACATCAGCGGATTTTAATTTGGGTATAAATCTGGAATTTACATCGTTAAACATTCCCGTTGCTTGGATAAAATAAGGACACACTACGGTCGTCTTCACTCCTTTTATTCCTGGAACATTTAGAAGTAATAAAGCCCAATATGAAGGTGGCAATTACGGTTGCCACCCGTACTTTATTATAAAGTATTGTACTCTATTTCGACTATGCGTACGTTATACTTTACAAGACACATAAAGTACGCAAAAATACTTTATTTAAGGTCTTAAGTGAACATCGTAATTTTGTGAGCGATTATTCTAAATTCAGAGTATTTTTACATCAATAATATTGCACAGAAAAATGGCAAGCCATATTTACGGAACAACCTGATTTCCCGAATCTGTTCAAAGTAGTGTCACTTTTGCTATCCGTTCCGGTCACTTCAGCATTTACAGAAAGAGTATTCTGTGTTATGAACGCAAAGTGGCGGGACGACAGAAATAAAGCTTCATTAAAACTAATTAAAAATGAACTTTGAGTTTACTTAAATCTTTGTTTGCCATGTTTAGAGGCTATTAATGTATTTAAGAGCGTCAGCAATTTGTTACTGGCTGCTAGGTGTAACAAAAAATATGTTTTTAAAAACAAAAAATTAAGTATTTTATTTTTATGCCGAGTACTTTTTTTTTGAACCTTTTAGTCGAGAAATACTTTATGTAAAACCTGAAAAGGTGGCAACCCTAGTGGCAATGTGTCACCATTAGGTCCTTTTACAAATGGTATTCACTTGCCAGATTAAATCTTGATTACTTAATAATAATACGTTCCATGAATCCCGAATTACACAAAATTCTATGTAGACATGAACAAAATTTAGGTTTGTTGATCAGGACATGTAAGAAGTTTTCTACGTCGATGAGTTTAAAACTTGTATCACTTGATACATTTTTACGACTCCATAAATATGCTATTGTACTTTAGCTGAACATAAAATTAAGCACATAAAGCTTTGTTAATTGTTGACTATTAGTAGGGAATATATAAACGCTTTATTAAGTGATTACCATAACATCTAAGAACTGGTAAATTGGCAAAATGTTTTAATAAAACAAAATTGACAAGCTTATTATGTTTTAGTACAAACTTTAACGTTAATACCCGTAGAAAGCGTAAGAAAAGGTATCACTATAATAATATGTGTTTCGAGATGAAGGACCGTGGTCTAAATGAACTGTTGGGTCCAGACGTTTCAACAGTGACTGCGACTGACATCTTCAGTGGTACGAAACGTTTAGACCTAATAGTTCACTTAGAGTACGGTCCTTTTTAGCCGGAATTATAATTCTACCAAAAAGTACTTTTACTTTAAAATATTTATGACAAATTTACTTAATTTTGATTTTTTCGAAGCACTTTAATTTTTTAATCCTAAGTAATACTGCAAATGTGCATGCGAGTTTCTTTATTTATGACCATTTCACGTCCCAGCTACTTATCCGATCATCATGAAATTTTATACACACATTGTCAGGGGTGCAGATAAGGACATAGGGTGCCTTTTATTCAGAAAAAATACTGTTTAGAGGATGGAAAACATTAGTTTTATGTGGTAGTCCGGTAGTACGTAAAATAATCGGAGTTAAATTGAGATGTACAGTGCTAATATGTATATATAATAACCTAAATATTATTTTCAATTTTCGATATGCGAGTGTATATCTTCGAGGACTTTTTCGTTAATTTTTTGACTTTGACTTGAATTAGTCGGAGAGCTGCGCTAGGAGTCACATCTACTGGCTTTAGGAATCCCCGAAAACGTAGTCACTCATTTATAAATTAAATGGAAACAAAAATTTCTTTGGTGCAATTTATTAAATATATATAAAATATTAGCTTCTAAGTTTGTTAAAGGTGTTTGTTTGGAGCACGGCGCTGTACGGGTGCGAAACATGGACGTTGGACGTGGCGGAAAAGAAAACGTTAGAAGCGTTCGAAATTTGATGTTGCATAGAAAAGGTTAGAAATGAAAACGTATTAGAAAGAATAGGAGAACAGAGG